GGCCAGAAAATGAACTTAGCAGAAGAACCTGGAACAGGCAGTAGGGCTCGCTTTTCTGGACTCTATAATCAGGCTCTGCCAGCTTCAGGCCTTCCCGTTCAATGTCCTAGGAATTCATGTCCATGAGACAACAATAGATCTTTTGAATTACAAAGGCTTTTTACTCCCACTTTCAGAAGATCCTACCAAATGCAGGAAAGAATCAGAAAGATCAACGGTCATCCTGTAGTGCCCAGTCAAGAGAGGAAAATAAAATGTCACATTGTCCCTTCCTTTCCAAATCCAGACCCATTGGTTACTGACCCTTTCTCTCCCAGGGGTAGCTACTGCCTTCTTGCTTGTCTTGTTTTGTGTCCTAAGGGTTTGGTTTGGCTTTCTGTCTGCCTGGGACATGCAGACTGTAGGTTCTTTCTTTTTTTTTTTTTTTATTTTTTTTTTTTTTTAAAGATTTTATTTATTCATTTTTTTCCCCCCAAAGCCCCAGTAGATAGTTGTATGTCATAGGTTCACATCCTTCTAGTTGCTGTACGTGGGACTCGGCCTCGCGTTGGACAGAGAAGTGGTGCCTCGGGGCGCGCCCGGGATCCGAACCCGGGCCGCCAGCATCAGAGCGCGCGCACTTAACTGCTAAGCCACAGAGCCGGCCCTGTAGGTTCTTTCTTTTGGCCATCTTTGGGAGTGACTTTGGATCTTGGGAAGGTAGTAACCTTTGAGGATGCCTCTTGCGTCCATGGAGTTGTTTAAATACTGCCAGAAATATTTACTGTTTGTCCCAGCTGAAAACTGGCAAGATATTTAGAAGGACTTATTCTTTAGTAGCTCTATGGTCAAAAATTGGAAGCTGATATTCAGAGCATGATAGGAATATTTTTATAGGCCTTCTTCCTTAAGTTAAAATAAAACTATGTACCCAGAGGGAAAGAAGCAAATTAGGGATGATATAGTTGAGCAGTTACATCAACCTATGATGTCCTTTAAGTTACAATCTGATTTCTAAGGAATTGAGAGCAACTGGCCTTATCTTACAAATCTTTGCAAAACTGGAAACGCGGCTCTAGAGGCAGTTCATATTTTACCCATTCCTTTTCACGAATCCCAAAAATCTCCCTTATCTCGAAAGGCTTGTAACCTTTCTGGGAACTATTATCTAGACCATCACCAATTTCTAAGACCGAAGGGGAAAAAAAAGGAAAAAGAGGCAAAGTGCTATAGAAGTGTCCTTGTCCAAAATCTAGCATCTGAAATGTCTTCTCCACAAATATTAGAAGAAAAAAACTTCAGCGATCTAAGCAGATAACCCTAATTTACTCCATCTGCCAGAAACAAAATTTGAGTCTAACTATTCTTTCGTAACTAGTGCGCTTTGTATTACTGTACCGGATTTATGATAGTAATTTTAAAACAATAGCTATGGGGTCTCTATGTATGTGTGTCTACATATATGTATGTTGTAAATGTGTGATATTTTTCTACCTCTGGATGATATAATTTCTAAAAGAGCTCTATTTAATTGACTTAAAATAAGCACTTATATGATTTCTAAATATAATAGAAACTAACCCAAATGTTTTTCAAGTTAACATGATAAAACTTTTGTTCTACCTAGGTTTACTAAAAGTCAAACAAATTCATGTCATCTTTGTTACAAAATTTGAGAGCAAGACATTGATGGCTGACTTTGTCTAATGTCTCCTGAAGTTTTTGTAGGTAATCTAAACATAATTATTGGGAACAAGTAAACTAAATAGATGTAATTAAGATAAAAAAGGTTTTAGGTGAACTTTTTAAACAATAATTGCATGTTATGGCATATGTTCTTAAAAATAGCTTCCAAAATCTATTCCAAAAATAGCTTCAAGTTAAGGTAACTTGAAACCTTAGTTTTGCTAAGTTAAGTTAAATGATGGGAATTCATTGAATGTCTAGATCATTTCCAAGTAAGATAAAATACTGAAGCATTAATTGCTAAACAGTCTAAGTTTACCTACTTTTGTCTTCTTATTACATAAAAACTAAAGATGTTGGGTTTATTAGTTAACATGTCTTGTGCTTTTTTAAAGATTGTACTATGAAGTAGCATGTTTTCAGAAATTATGACAAGTATTTATAAATTTGTCAAGCCACAGAATGCTAATGTAAAAGTTCATAATCGTTTATTTATTTATTTTTCACTGCAAATTAAGGCTATTAAAGGTTAAAAAAAATTCTAATATGAAGATACATTTTGTTAAGGGAAATGAGAGTAATTTGTCTAAACTAGAACTTCTGAAGGACAAAACTAAATGTATACAAAAGGTTGAAGAGAGAAATTTACTTTGTGTAGTCACATTAGCTAAAGATTGAATTATTATAAGGGTTTTAAAATTAGGCTTTAATTGCAACAGTGTCCTTGTGTAGGACTGGAACTTGGCTCTTTCATTTGCTAGAAGGAGAGTTTCTTTATCTTTTTAAGTGATCTGCCTAGAAGACGAAGATTCTATGTTTTACCAAAATAATTCCCTGTTTGCTGTCTTTATTAGGTCCTTGATTACTTAGGAAAACTGAGTCTTCTTAATATTAAAAGAGCTAAGTTTTTCCTCCTACAGATGTCTTGAAGAAGGGATGGTTAGATGGATGGGTAGATGGAAGAAGGGAAGGAAAGAAGGAGAAAGGAAAGATGAATGAGTGTGTGGATGGGTGGCTCACTGGCTGGATGGCTGACAGGAGGGATGGTTGGATGGATGGAAGGAGGAATGGGTGGATGGTAGGTGGACCGGTGGATGGATAGGTGGATGAGTGGGTAGATGGCATTTCCCCTTAGGGAACCACTGCCTCCCACTCAAA